GAGTCATTAAGGCACAAAAATGAAATGATAGAGTTAAAGAGCTGAACAGAAAATTTCAAAGGGCAGCTTTAAAAGTCTAAGTAAAACATTATAATGAAATGTGCAAAGACTCAGTTCTAAAAACAAAAAGGGAGAACATGCTTAGCACATCTTGAACTGGAAGAACTCAAGGAATAAATCATGCCTTGAGTAGCGATGTTGAAAGATTTTATGGACAAAATATAGAAAGATTCAGGAAGCATCAAGCAAAGAGGGAAAGAATAGTCATCGTTACTGTACTACAAAGAACTAGTCTATAATCCACCATTTCAGGAGACAGCACATGAGCAGGAACCAGTGGTGCTGAAGGAAGAAGTTCAAGCTGCATTGAATGCTTTAGCTAAAAACAATGCTCCAGGAATTGATGGGATACCAATTGAAATGCTTCAACAAGTTAATGAAACACTGGAAGCACTCACTCATCTGTGCTAGGAAATTTGGAGGACAGCTGTTTGACCAACTGACTGGAAGAGATCTATATTTGTGCCCATTCCAAAGAAAGGTGACCCAACAGAAAGCTCAAATTACAGAATGATATAATCAATATCACATGCAAGTAAACTGCAAACTACAAGGTTGGTGGTTCAAACCCATTAGTTGCTCAGCAGGAAAAAGATAAGGCTATTTTCTCCCATAAAGATTTATAACCTAAGAAACCGTATTGAGGTTTCTATATAGTATATAGCATATTATCAATGCTTGTTATCCATTTGAGTATTGACTTTTGTGAAATGTCAATTCAATTTCTTGGCCCATTTAAAAATTGTGTTTTGTTGTTAACTTGCTAAAGAGATACACACACACATACATACACATATATATCAGGTATATTATTTATCAGGCATGTTATTCTTGAAAAACTTCCCCTAATCCATATGTTGTATCTTTACTTTTAAATTAAATTATTTTATTTTAATATAAATTATTTGATAAGCAATGTATTTAATTTTTATGTCTCATTTTGTCTTTTGTAGCTTATGCATTTGTTGTCACACAGATTGGCTTTGTAAACTTATAGATAAGTATTTAAGGTTATTTTATGGCTTTACTTATCTTGATAGGTCACTTCTTTTCATTGCCAAATACTACTCCATTGTACAGATCTACCACTGTTTGTTTTCCTTTCACCTATTGGAGGAAATCTTGACTGCTTCCAATTTTTGACATTTGTGAATAATGCTACTCTATAAACATTCCTGTGTAGGTTTTGATGTGGATGTACATTTTCAACTAGGAACACAATTGCTATATCATATGGTAAGCCTGTTTACTTTTATAAGAAACTTGGAAGACCTCTTCCAAAGTGGCTGTACATTCTCATCAACAATGTTTTTTTAAAAATTATTTTTATTATTATTTTTAATCATTTTAT